AAAGAAAGAAAGAAAGAAAGAAAGAAAGAAAGAAAGAAAGAAAGAAAGAGGGAGGGAGGGAGGGAGGGAGGGAGGGAAGGAGGTCCAAGGAGACCAAAGCTCAAGAATAGTAAAAAAAAATTAGCAATGTAGACTAGTAGTGGCCAGGGGAAAAAACAGCTTTTACCTAGTAGCCTCATAAATATATACAGATTTTAAAAAAACCAATTTTGCACACCTGTATTTGTTTCTCTCAGTTTTCTTTCATAGTTATTAGACTTTAAGACCTCCAATTAGAATCCAAATACTCCCTCCATTTAGAAAGTATGCTTTCTGACAGTTTGAGAATCTTTGATCTAATAGATGCAGTTTCTTCCCTCTGGGATAAAGGAGCTAACATTTTCAATAGTTTTTTTTAAGATTTTGTTTTAAAGTGCATTTATATTTTAAACCTCATTATAATTTGTGCTTTGTCATCTCATCCTGAAAAGGATGGCTCACCTCAAGCCACAGAGCCTAAGGCTACAATCTTAAGCACACTTACAGTGAAAAAAGTCTAACTGAACTCAGCAGAATTTCCACCTAAAGAAACATACTTTAGGATCTCACTATAAGTCAGCTCTATTTTTATAGACCCAGCTCTATTTTTATAGATCCAGTTCAATCAGCAAGGGATTCCATCCACTTTTTTCTATCTTAGTCAAGAAAAAACAAGAAAAAAGTGGATGGAATCCCTTGCTGATCGAACTGGGTCTATAAAAATAGAATTGAAAAAGCATTGAAAATAGGATTGAAAAAAACATGAACATCACTTGTCCCGAGGTGTGCAAATTGCTATTAAAGTCTCACAAATAATATATTTGAAGTTATGTTACTGACTTGTTAGTGCTGTTTTGTAAATGGCAAAGAGCTGACTTATAGCGAGATCCTAAAGTATGTTTCTTGAGGTGGAGGTTCTCTGGTTGGAAGCAGCCTTCCAACCAGAGAGTCAACCTTTAGGTGTTTCTCAAGCAAAGATAGTGTCAAAACACAGCTTTTAACTGAATCTAAATAATGTCCGGGGGCATTCTCTTTCTTTTTAAAATTTAGAACTTTTCTCATATTTCTTATTTTTTATAGCAGTTTGGTGCTATTACAATGGATTTATGTGATTTTAACTACAATATATGCTTTTATGTAGATTATTAGCCACCCTGTACTCCTAAAAAGAAGGCTGTAAGTGGAAATAATAGTAAATAGGGTATACTGAAACAATAGCATTAAGTAGTAGTGGTAGTAATAGCTGTAATAATGATAATGACAGTAACAATTTGTTATTTGCTTGCAGCTGCAGACAGCTAAAATCTTCCTTCTTAAGGAAGGCAGATTAACAGGAGGAAGCTCTCCTTACAAAAAAAAATCCTTGTAAAATGAACTTCAAAAGCCAGGTATAAACAGCAATGGCTTACCATTTTCTTCAGGTTTTGATGTCTCCCACCCCATTGACCTTTTTACAGCTTTTTTCCACCGGCTATAGCGATACTCGCTTTCTGAAATCACAAGAAATACTTTCATCATAAATCTTAAAAATTTATTTCAAAAGTACCCTGATGTAACATAGAAATATTATATGGTATATTGTCTCTCCCATGTAAACGACTTGCACTTGTTACTAAGAAATGATAGAAACTAGCAAAAGTGTGGAAAGCTGGTACATGCCCCAAATTCACTGTGCTATGGATACCATAAATTCTATTTGTCCTTGCTGGTTATCTGAATTGATTAGGAAGATGAGTCAATGTACATCTAATAAAGGAGATCATATTTTAATTTGCTCTTTACCCTCTGGATTGATCTTTGGCTCAAAACATTCACATGTTACTGCTGTGAGGTCATCAAGATTCAGGCTCCAAACTCCTACTCCTTCTGCAGCTCCAGCTGCCATGGCTGCTCCAAGTGCTGTGGTTTCAGGCATAGATGGTTTTACTAATAGGGACAGAGTGTTTATTAATGGCTTTGGAAATCTGTATGTGATAAGAACTTTGCACATCACAAAGAACATAAAGCAACATTTTAAATCATTTTCATCTTTTGGTCTAGGAATGTCCTCATCATCTAACACCTCTTTTAGCTGGCTTAACATAGAAAAATCTGTTAGCAGCAAATTCATTTCTGAACTAAAGTCAAATATACATCTCATTTATACAGCAACAAAAGATACTGCATGCTTTGGTTCAGGAGCAATAACCTGGAGAAAATGGGTGCCAGAACTACATGTTTGCCTCAGACCGGTGTCAATGGGAAGGTTACTGTTGTTGCTTCACATGACATACACTTCACTAATATAATACGCAGTGTGCATCTTTTGAAAGTGCAGTAAGGCTTGTGGGAGAGTCCTTCTTCTACAGGGCTTCCTTGTCTAGTGGGCAGCTGGATAACAGTGGCAGTGGCAGCAGCAGTGGTGGGGCCAGGAGTTTCTTGGAGGGTTGGGGAGGCCCCTGCTGCTGTCACTGCTCCCAACATGTGCTCACTGGCTGCTGCCACCCAACCGTCTGCCAGAGAAGAAGACTCTGTGGAGGAGGAAGGGCATGCTCCGTGTGAGGCAAAAATGGAGCTGCTGAAGCTGACTCCCCAAGGAATAAAAAAACATTGCCAGGTGGTCAGTGCTAGCCAGCTAGCATTGTTCTTGCTCAGGTGGGCACAGCCAATGGCTGTTTTCATTGTATTAAAACATATATGTGATAGGTACATTTTTGTTCTAGATTGGAGATAATACACAGTAAAGAGTTTACTGTAGGTTATCTACAATGTATAGTTCCAATGTAGTTCAGCAAAAAGTGTGGTTAATTCACTCTAAGTATTTCAAGCAAGTCTGTAGCAGGGTAAAGTTCCTATCCCCTGAATAATGCATTGCTGATTTTAAAACATATAGAGTTTTATTGTCTGTACAGTGGTGCCTCAACTTACAAACTTAATCCATTCCAGAAGATGGTTGTAACTCGAAATGGTCGTAAGTTGAAGCACCATTTCTCATAGGACTGTACTGAAACGCGATTAATCTGTTCCGGCTGGAAAAAAAATCACCAAAACCAAACAAAAAAACCACTGCAAGACCCGTTGGAAACACGATTAATCTGTTCTGGCCAAAAGGGGGGGAAACCTAAAAAGCAAACAGAGACTGAAAGACCAATTGGAAATGGAAAACAACAACAACCAAAAAGCAAACAGAGACTGCAAGACCTATCGGAAATGCATACAACAACAACAAAAATAAGCAAACAGAGTGCAAGACCCATCGGAAATAATAACAACAAAAAAGCAAACAGAGACTCCAAGACCCATCGGAAACGGGACCCCCCCCAAATAAACAAAGACTGCAAGACCCATCACAGCATAGAAACTTAACCCCACCACCCAGCCCAAACCCATGCTGCAAAACCCACCCAGAACAGCCAGTTTTTAAAAAGCAAAAAGCAGCACCTTACCAGGCAGTCTGAAGCCTCCTCCAAATGCACACTCTCTAACCGTTGGGGCGAAAGAGCTACAAAGAAGCAGCCTCCTCACCACCAATGGTTAGCAGTTTGAATTCCCCACCTTTTTCCCTGCCTTTTTTCTGGTTGTAACTCAAAGCTCCGGTCGCAAGGTGAAGCAAAATTTTGCAGTCAGAGCTGGTTGTAAATCAAAATGGTTGTAAGTCAGGACGTTCGTAAGTCGAGGCACCACTGTATTTGGTTAGAGATAAGCATTTTCAACTACCAGGCAAATATAGTTCGTTGCTTACAATTTATGTAGGTCTCATAACAGTTATGTATAGTTCAAAAGAAATTACTGTAGGATTTGAACATTTACAAAGACACACCAACCAAAAATTAGTTTGTGATATGTATTGAAATTGTCATGATGCAAATATCCTGAAGAACACATATTGCATATAGACACACAAAAGCCTATAGTAGATCCCTTAGTATTGATAGCAAAAAGCCCATTCCTTCCAAATCATTTATGTAATTCAGTCAACAAACTTGCTTCTTATTTCATCCAACAGGTTAGTTTTCTGGGAACACAGAGTACAGTCCTTCTGAATTTAAAAAATGCTTTACACTCTTTTAAAGAGTTCATATGGGAGACTCATATGTAATGGAAAAACTAAAAGCAGGCATTATCTCAATAGTGCTAGAAAACCGAATTAATTGGCAAAAACAATATATGCAGGGTATAAACTGAAAAGTTTCCTCAGATATTATCAGAGATGGATGCTTTATGGCTATGAAAACTTGGCTTACATGAACAAGGCTGCAAAACCTGCTAACATCAAAGGGAAATACTTCCGATTAAATTCTTGAGTTGAAAAGTTTCAACATAGAGGGCAGCAAGCATTGTCATTGTTTTTAAATCAGTCAACAAACTCATTGGTTTTAGAGGTAACACATAAAACATTCAGACTCTTACCTACTGGAATACAGAGAATGTCAGCTTGGAGCTGCATAAGGATCTTATTATTGGTCATTCCTCCATCCACTTGTAGTTGTCTTAGTGGTATCCCACAGTCCTTGTTCATTGCATCCAGAATCTTGAAACAAATCATTTATATGTTTAAAATTTTCATATGAACCTTTTCAACAGGAAGAAAAGCATAAGTTTTTATAAAGGTGCTAGCAGCAGGAATGTAAGTTTTGTCAGCAGCACTAGAAGGATTCCTTGCTGACATTTAAAGAAAGGGAAGTGCTAGATGAAATTGCTAGACAAAACTGAAATCTTTTAAGAGTGGTCGTATAGACCAGATGGGCGGGATATAAATCAAATAAATAAAAAAAAATAAAATGTAATAAAACAGGGAACATGAAATTCATATATTTAAAAAATCATATACTGTTTAATTTATCTTTTAATATTTAACTTATTGCGTTTTTAAATTGTGTGAATTTTAATGTTGTGAGCTGCTTTGGGTCCCTTGTTGGGAGAAATGTGGCATATAAATAAAACTAATAATAATATTTGAAATCCTGTTTCCTTAAGTTATAAAAAGGAAGTATGAAATTAATTACAGTTCAAAATAATATTCAAGCAATTGGACAACAAAGATAGACTTCAAATAGCCCAGCCCAGACCCATCATCCATACCTCTCGTGTTTGAAAGCAGACAGCAGCTAGTGCAGCAAAGGCAATGTGTTTTTTGTTTGTAAACTGAGTAAGGCCACAGATAATTCTGTAGAATAGAAAGTAAAAACTGTGTTAGAAGGAAAAGCATATTTAATAAGATATAACATCATGTGGTTTTAACAGCACCCTGCCTTGTTTCAGTGAGACTGCTCACTGAGACAATCTGTTTCCCATGGCAGAAGGAGCATGCTGGCTATATCCAGAGCTGGAAGAGTTCCTTTATGAACTGTGGCTGCCAGAATCTGTAGCGAACACCAGTCATGCCAGAAGGGGGATTGTGAGAGTTGTAGTGCTAACTACTTTACCTGGAAGTACCCACAGGATTCTGCTCGAAAAACCAGCACATCAGGATATATAGGATCCTGATGTGATGTCGTCGTTTAGTCTTTTAGTCATATCCAACTCTTTGTGACCCCATAGACCAGAGCAAGCCAGGCCCTCCTATCTTCCACTGCCTCCCGGAGTTGTGTCAATTTCATGTTGGTTCCTTTGCAGACACTGTCCAGCCATCTCATCCTCTGTCATATCCTTCTCCTCTTGCCGTCACACTTTCTTAACATCAAGGTCTTTTCCAAGGAGTCTTCTCATGAGATGGCCAAAGTACTGGAGCCTCAGCTTCAGGATCTGTCCTTCCAGTGAACACTCAGGGTTGATTTCCTTTAGAATTGATAGGTTTGTTCTCCTTGCAGTCCAGGGGACTCTCAAGAGCCTCCTCCAGCACCAAAATTCAAAGGCATCAATTCTTCGGCGGTCTGCTTTCTTCATGGTCCAGCTCTCACTTCCATACATCACGACAGGAAAAGCCATAGCTTTGACTATTCGGACTTTTGTTGGCAAGGTGATGTCTTTGCTTTTTAAGATGCTTGTCAAGGTTTGTCATCACTTTCCTCCCAAGAAGCAGGCGTCTTTTAATTTCGTGGCTGCTGTCTCCATCTGCAGTGATCATGGACCCCAAGAAAGTAAAATCTGTCACTGCCTCCATATCTTCCCCTTCTATTTCCCAGGAGGTGATGGGACCAGTGGCCATGATCTTAGTTTTTTTGATGTTGAG